AAAGGGAGGGAAAAAGAGGGGAATATGTAGGGAAAAAGAGGGAAGAGTAAAAGGACAAGTAAAATAAAATGTCGAGCCCAACTTAAAAATAATAATAACAAGAAAAAACCATAACGACTAACAAAAAAGCCGACCACCAGGCAATATTATAGATAATATAGATAATATATTTAGATAAATAAAGATGAGAGAGAAAGACAAGAACAAGAAGAAACGAAAATATTACTATAAATTTAAATTACACAAAAGTATAGGTCTAAGAGTACCCTTACTAATAGTAGGATCAAATATTAAAGAATTAGAATTAACAGAACGAAACATTCTAGTGACCGGCTACCATAATTAGTAGAGTGATAGTGAACATTGTACAACTCAACAAATCTAAGATTCCTTACGTTATCCCTAATAGAAACCTGTCCTAACAAAGAAGGAGCCATAATGGCCCCCGACACGAGCTGATGGATAAACACTATGTCAGCGACAACCCTACGTGCCCTCAAGGACTGCAAATCGATCAACATCAACCTGGCCTCATACGTTGGGAATTTAAAAGGATCAGACCATCCCAAACCCCTCAAAGCAAAAGGCAAAAATTTCTTCTGAACAAATTCAATACGAGAAACATCCACAACAAGAAACCTGACAAGCATAATCAAGAATTGGCCAGCAAAGGACACATACAAATGCTTCGCAACATACGGATCAATAAACTCTCTAGCCCATCTCATTACAAAACCCAGCTCCGAATTAGCCCTGCCAAGGACCATATTCAAATGAGCACCAAAATTCAGCGTGCGATCAAGCATAACCCCAAAATCACAAGAAGAGCTCACTCTCTCCAATACCATCCCGTTAAGGCAATAGTCATGGCGGACAACAGAAGACTCCCTCCTCCGCGAAAAACTCATGACTCCACACTTACTAATGTTATGTTCCAAGATATTGACCCTACACCAGTCCCATAAACTATCCAAATCCCTCTGCAACTTTAGACAATCAACTTCTGACCGAACTGTCCTCACAATCTTGGAGTCTTCTGCAAAACTATAAAGCGCGTAACCCACAAAAGAACCAAAAGCGTCGTTAGTCGCAACTAAAAAAGTATAGAACCCAAATGGTTATCCTGCGGAGCACCAGACCAGGCGCAGTAGACATCAGACAGAGTAGAACGGAAAGAAACCTGATAAAAACCGAGAGACAAATAGGAGTAGATCCACATCAAGATACGGAGAGAGAAAACCCACGCCAGCCCACTTTCTCAGTATAACTTGATAAGGAATAGTATTGAAAGCCTTACTACCATCCGTAAAAATAACATTGGCCTGACCACCTCCTCTCCATAATATTAATAGTATCCGAGACAAACCCAACCAAATTGGTAACAATAGATCTGCCCCTCTGAAAACCATGCTGGCCGGAGTAAATAAAAGGACTACAAAAAGAGTAGAAGTAATCAACCAAAATACCCTCAAATAGCTTCGGAATAGCTGACATCTTAACAATAGACCGACAAATACTAGCCGAAGAACGTAAACCCTTCTTATGAACCGGAACAACGTATGACTCCCTCTAAGCCGAAGGAAAAACAGAAGACACCAACGATAGGTTAAATAAAGAAGTAAGAGGACCAACAAGGCTACACAACACTACAGCGCACCTACACAACACTACAGCCGGAATCCCATCAGGACCAGGAGTCACCACCCAACCTCTATGGCCCGCAGAACGCAATCAGACAATAGAGGTTGGGTGTACAATACTATCAAGAACAAAATTATCAACAGGCGCACCATCAATATTCACAAATCCAGCAAACTCCGGAGATAGACCAAACACAAAACCGGAGCAAACACACTCGAAAAGTGCCAGTCAAACAAATTTGAAATGACCAGAAGATTACTAGAAGACCTACCAGAAAATTTGAGCGAGGATGGATAACCATCAGATCTATTCTTCGAATTAATAAAATCAAAAAACTTTCGCGGATCGCCAAACATACTACGCCGAACATCATTAAGATATGCCCCATACAAATCACTACAAAGAGATCTAAAGTCATTGTAGGCCAAGTAAAACCTAACATAATCCGTCGAAGACCTCGAAACCACAAAAGCACGGCAAGCAGAATTCCTAACATTCCTAAGACGCCGCAACTCAGGGGTATATCAAGGAGGAGAAGACATACGTGACCTATCTCTAACTTCTGGCACAGAAGCACACAAACAGTCGAAGACACACAAACATAAAGAAAATAAAGAAAAATAAAGCAAAATACTAGAAGGCAAAAGTAGGAAAATAAAAAAAAAATCGCACAATACGATAAAAATATGACTTACAAACCAACGAGAAAAACGAATCCAGAAAATATTCAATAAAACAGAAATGAACGCAAAAAAAATATATTTTAAAATTATCAAACACATACGTTGACACAAAATAATAAAATTAAAATTCAAAAAAAAAATCACAAATATTAAAAAAAAGGACAAAGTTATAATTAAATAACATAAAAATGAATGTAAAAAAATAAAACGATAAAAAACGCAACACTAGAGGAAAAAATTTTTGTTTACATTAATAATACTAAATAAAACAACTCAAAAAAAAATACGAAATAAGAGCAACAAAAAAAAAATCTACAACTTGTCACCACTAAAACCAAAACAAGACTGATCAATTACTAATGTTGCATTCAAACACTCTCTGCTGTTAAGCTAAAAATTCATACAACTTTTATTTCAACAAAACTAAGATAAATGGGATTTTGATTGAAACCAAGATATTTTCTTAGAAGAATCCGAATATAGGATTATTTTAGAAATGGATGTATTGCAACTACAAACCTCTAAACAATATCAATAAATTGTTTTCAAGTTGCGCAATAAAAAGAGAGCAAAAATATAATAATTTACTTTATTAGCAAATATAATTTCATAATTATTTTAATATTAAAAAAAAGTGGCATGTTTCAAACCGCTTGAATTTGACATAAAAGTTCTAAACGAAAGCAAATTAAAAAAAAATCGAACAATTAGGAACAATTTTTATAAAAACAACGCAAATATGGGGAAATGAGTTTATTTTTTTTATTGATAAACTTCTTACCTTCCTATAAAAAAATCTATATCTACTACTTTTACCTTTACCAATGAAAGGAGATTTTGTCTTCGTTTCCTTTTCTTTTCACTGCCTTATTTTTTTTGGTAATTAAATTATGTAAAATCTTCCGGATTTTGGTTTTTTAGATAAAGCTTTTCCTTTTGTTGTTAATTTCTGCTAAACTTTCATAATTATAATTTTGCACAAGAGGAAATTCCTTTTAAAATAATATTTAGATTTTACTCATTGTAATATGAAAAAAATATCCCAAAATATAACAATCATATATAATAGATTTTACGGCCAAAATATTTAAATTCGTAAGAAATTATGTTTCCAGAAAATTTAGCTAATTTCACAAAAGTTTTATAATAGTCGTTTCCAGAGCTCTGTTTAACATGGGAGCAATTTGTAGAATTGCTTTGAGTAGAATTCGAATCTTTCTATTCGCATTCGCATAAATATGATGTGTAAGTTTTATGATAATTGCTTTACACAATTCAAAAAGTAATTTGGTAATATTTTGGTTATTATTGAAGTCGTATTATTTAAACTTGGCTTGTACATATAAAGTAGTAGGACCGCCACCTACGCGCAAAAAATAAGTCGGCTTTGTGATGTGATAGCCGATATGCCTTCAGAAAAGATTTATTTACAAGGCCATGTAGGCTATTAACATATACTGAAATTGTACACAAATAAAGCTGGCAAATTTATTTGAGTTTTTATGATATAGGGGCCGTATAGCTTTAATAATAATGAAACATTTTAATGAAATTATTAAATATTTTAATCAAAATTAGAAAAAAGGAGTTATTTCAAAAAACGAATTGGCTATTTCAAAACATTGCATTCGAGATTATATATTTTTAGATGGAAATTTCCATACAATTCTTCAGAGGCAATTATCCGACGAATATTAAAAATTTGTCATGGTTAAGTCAATTTGTTCTCGTTTGTTAATGTTGTTAATTATTTTTTACTTCCGAAAACTTCGAGATTTTACTTTACGGAAACTATTTACGGAAACGGAATAAAGGTAGCCCTTTAATAACCTTCAATTACTCTATTTTTGACGCAAAACTCCTTTTGCTTAACTATTAATTAATAATAAGAACAACTATTTATTTATTATAAATTTTGTTCTCAAAGAAAGTTAAATTTATCTTTCAATTTTGTTTGTGAAATAGATACGAAACCTATTTAAAGAATACATTAAGTTTTTTTGCTATTTAGTGTTCATATGATAATTTTCTATATCTTTATTCTAGTTGTTGAACCAGATGATTCTCTTCCATTTAATTCAACTTTTATTTTAATTCAACTATAATTTTACAACAGGTTCATTAAGTTTTCAATTTTTATTTTCTAATTATATTTACGCCCATTAAAAATTTAAATAAATTTTCACTTAATTTTTCAATTTCCTAAAAGAAATTTCTACAATTTCCTTTAAGTGCTTGAGAAATTATAAGAATTTCATTTTACTTTAATATTTAGAAAGTATTCAACCAATTAAATTTAATGGCACAATTCAAACAGGTATCGCTTAATATTTAATATGAAGTTGTTTAATTATTTTCTTTTGCTTTTCCATTATAAAATGTGTACAATAGACAATCGATAAATAAATTTTTTTCTTCATTTTATTCCATTAAAAAAGAATGAAAATAAATTTTTTCCAACATTATCTTGAATCTTACGTCCTTTGCACCTTTCGTTCAATTGTCCTCACAGTATGACATTCTAATGATAATTACTTGATAATAAAGTCAGGAAGTCAATTAAGTAGGAATATTTTTAAATCAAAAAGTAAATTTTCTTTTATTTTGTTTTCACTTTTTATTCTATATACCTTACACAATTACCAACTTTAACAACATTGCTGTTATCATCACCAGTACATTATCAACGTATTATTCATGCTGATATAAAGCCAGGAAATTTATTACTTGGTGAAGGAGGCCAAGTAAAAATTGCTGATTTAGGTGTATGTAATGAGTTTTTGGGTGAGGATGCTGCAATGAATAATGGTTCAACAGCTGGCACGCCAGCATTTAGAGCTCCAGAGACGTTATTTCCAGGACAGGTAAAAAAATTCTGTTTTGTTTTTATGCATTTAAGTATATTTTGGTATTAAATTTTAATAAGTAACAAATATTAATTTTTATCTTGCGTTCATAGTATATTTATAGTGGCAAAGCAGCAGATATATGGGCTCTTGGTGCTACATTATGGTCGTTAATATATGGAAATGTACCATTTGTGGCAAACAACATTCCGGCACTTTATGAGCAAATAAAAAATGATCCTTTGGTATTTCCAAATAATCCAAAGATATGTGATGAACTGAGAGACTTATTAGAAAAAATCTTAGATAAAAATCCAAATAAACGTATTACTTTACCACAGATAAAGGTAATTACGATTAACTTACTAAAATTCATTATAAACTTTTTTTTTTTTAAACTGTATGAATATTCATTTATTTTTATATTACAGGAACATCCGTGGGTGACTTCAAATGGTAAATATCCATTACCATCAGAAGAAGAAAATTGTCGTTTAGTGCAAGTTAGTGATGAAGATATGAGCTGTGTTGTTAAAAGCATTCCGAAATTAGATACGTTGATATTAATAAAGACAATGTTAAAAAATCATTCTTTTCAAAACCCATTCGCAAAAACTGGAATTTCTGGACGTGCTCCTCAACGTGGTGGATCGAGATTAGAGCGTTTTACTCGAGCTGGGAGATCAAATTCAGCACCAGGCGCATACCATTCACCCATAGATAGGTAAAATTTGGGTATTTAAAAAATTTAAACAAATTTTGAAACTTAATAAGAGTATCAAGTTTGAAGTAAAGTACTTACATATTATTATGTAATTATTAAAATTTAAATTTGAAGTAGATCAAACAATTAGACACATTAATAAAATTAACATAATTAAAATAAACATAACAAACAAACACTTAAAAATTAAACACATAAAATTAAACACTTAAAACAAACACTCATGGTTTCTTAAACTAAACCCAGCATTTTTTTTTTAGTTTTTCCATCAATTAAATGTTGTAATAATTTTTGTTTTCCCTTTTTGCAGACAATTGTCATCTGAAAATACTCTTCCTTCACTGAGTGAGAATGTAGTCAGCCCCTCGAATGAGTCTTCTGATAAATTAAAATAGCTTTAAGAAAATTAAAAAATATTGATATGAAAATTCTTAATGATATTTTTGCATAAAATTTTATTTTATAATTTTTAACACAAATTTTGCACAATTTTGAACAATTTAATTTCGTATTTATATATTAAGAAAAAAAAACATTTTTTTGCGATTGTTATTTTAAAAAATTAGTGATTATGTACTTATGTATAAGTTAGTGTGTAATAAGTGTTACGACAAAAAATAGCTTTAATTCATTGCATTTAAAACAAAACTTGTTTGTAAAAATATTTGTTCTATGTACTAAAATCTGTAAAATTCTTAAAATTTGTTCTAAAAAATCTTGAATTAAAATAAGGAATACGGAAGTCTTTAAAAAAATTAACTGTTCTCAATCAAGGTTTTGCCAATTTTCAAATTTTTATAAAATAAAACTTTATTCTAAGGCCATTTCGCTCATTATTTGGTTTGCTGGCATTTGTAATAGAAACTTACTTTTTTTAATTTTAAATTAAATTCAAAATGCATTAAAACTTTCGTCGTAACACACAAATTTTGTTTGAAAAAATCTTTGTTTAATTAAAATTTTGTTCTTGAATTCTTTGATTGGTTTATTATAGATACTTAATTAATTAATGTTGTTGTTGATATTTTTTAATTAATTTAGTTTTATAATTATTTTTATATATTTTTATAGAAATATATACATACATATTTTTTATATAATTTTTTACTTGGTTTTACAATAAGAAATTTGCATATACATTCATATTAATAAAAAAAAGGAACCATTTTACAAAAATTTCTTTAATTTGTTTTAGAAAATTTTAGAATATAAGAAAAATAAACAACGAATATATTTAATTTATTGAAATAATTTTGAATTGTACATAATCTAAATTATTACTTTTTAGAAAAATTATATTCAACAAAATCGAAACGCTTAAACTAATAATAATACTAATTGTTAAAATAAAATTGTAATAAAAGTAATATTTTAAAATTTTTTTAAAATTAATATTTTTTTGTCTTGTAAAATTATATTAAATAAATAGAAAATTTTAATGAAAATTTAAAAGTCAAACAATTTAAAATATATAAATTCCGCATTTCGTATTTTAAGAGTTTAAAAAATAATTTTGCATAAATTTAATATTATGATTACTTAATTATTTTTTGTAGAAATTTTAATCTAAACACTTTTAAATAAAAACTTTTATTAACTTTTTCTCGTACTTATATAAATATTTGTTGTATTATTAATCGTTTGTAATGAAATAGCCACAATAAATTTTTCTTCAGTTGTAACTTAACTATTGTATAACTATGTTGTATAACTATACTGACGTATTAGTCAATTGATCTATGTATATAAAATATTATGCTGCATATATATGTTAAAAATTTGAATTATATTTGAAAATACTTGGATCCTGTTTTGTTGTCTCTGAGCTATATAAGAATCATTTTTAGGGATTGTAGACTCGATTTTTGATTATTCGTATAATTGTATAAATGGTCAAAATACATATATTGATATCGTTTGGAACGCAATTTTAAAGAACTTTTGCACTGAAATGCACAGTAATTTTTACAACAATTTCAAATAAAACATTTCTTTGAAAATTTGCTTTATCTGAAAATTCGTTAGATATTTCCATTATGTTTGACGTTGCATCTAATCTTCTATCTCTCTATCGAAACTTCATAAATTCTAACACTTTTTATTAATTTTTAACAATTTTGAATTAACGAAATTATTTTAATGATTTTGAATTAACGAAACCAAGTACTGTAAAGTAATTTCAAAATATAATTAAATGGATTTACCTTAGAACCTTTAAAGAAATTCAATTTTAGCCGGTTATTTTAATGACAATCTTAACTTAGAACATTGGCAGTGCAAGTTTTTAATGATTTCTAAAATTAATAATTTTGAATGTTAAAATTAAGTATTAAATTTGTTAGAATTTACTGAAATCATATTATGTATGTATTTAAACTAGAAATGACACATTTTGGTTATGACTGTGAGGTTCTTGTAGCCTTACTAAAAAAATTAAAATTAAATTTTATAGCTAAATAAAATTTAGTATTATCGTTGTGTAGCACTAATAATTGATTCATACTCGTATCAGTACTGGAATTTTGTGACTGGGATATATTATTTTTAAAATTAAATACTGCCAGTGAATTATTTGAGAAATGAATATAAAAAAAAAAGGCAGTTGTACTTTCTTTGCTGCCAACTGTGAATATTGAATTAATTTAGTTTAATATTAATTTTTTAAGAAATTAGAAGACGAATAAACAAGAAATGGGTTTTTTGATAGACTTGTTTTAAAATTTCTGATTTTAAAACAGTACTACAATTTCAGATTTTTTAGTTCCTAATATTAAAGATTTTTTGTTTTGATTTAGAAGTGGCAGGTCTTACTAAATTTTTAAAAACACTTGTGCTATATCGTTAGGTATTTGACAACGCTGTTCAAATCCTTAAGTAAAGTTATAATTATTACAACAATCAGAAAATTTTTTTTATAATTAACTAGAAGCATAAAAATATTTCAACTTTAAAAATGGACATTTAATATACTAGGTTACTATGTTGCGTAACACAATGTATTGACCAATATGTCTCCAACAAAGATAAATAACATTAGGCAATTTCTATTATATCAAGAGTAAACGAGACCTTTTAATCAATCATTCTGTTCAATATAGCCCTTTTTTGTTTTTTCTCCAAGAATTTGGAAAGCCAAATCTCTATTAAAAAGAATGTAAATGAAACAAAAAATCCTGAAAAAAAATTAAATATTTTTACTTTTTTTCTTAATCACTGTAATAATAATTTTAAGCTGCTTTAATATTACCCAAAAACATTAATGCAAAACATCCTTGCATATCCTTAAGATCAACTTTATGATTTACTATTTGCCTTGATAAACTTCTTAAATTACATTTATCAGGTGGAGGTAGATATTTTTCATGCCATCTTTGAATAAATCCCATTTGAAGTAATCGTTTCAATTCTTCATTAAATAAGTCCAAATAAGGACTGTCTCTAGGCATAATTAGTCCGATTTGTTCATCGAGGAAACTTTGAGGTGCTGTGACGCAATAATGTAGAATGTATATTGATTTTACAATCTTAAAAAAATGAAATTGTAATACACACCTAAGACAAAAGTACAAACTTTTTGTTTCGTAAAATGATTTTGAATTGTCATTTGTAAATTGGTTTTCCAATCTATATTAACACGCTGTCCATCTTGAACAGAAGCAACATTTTCTGATATTTGATCATTATATATTGTAGCTCGTTCAACAAATTTTTTAAAATCTTCTCTTGTAGAATCCTTAAAATAAGGTTAGACTTATTTTAATAGATTTTATTATATGTATACAAAAAAAGATTCAGTTTACTAAAATACAATTCTCAGTATACATACATACAAACAGAAACATTAGCTTTGTTTATTGAATTTACTGTAGATTTTAATAAAGCAAAAACAGAAAACTACAAAAATATTTTTACCTTTGAATAAATCTCAAAAAATGTATCTTTTCGAAGTCCATAGGTTTTAACATCAGAATTTTCTAAAACTTCATTAATGTTCGTTAAACCCTTTTCAAATTTAGGAAATGTCAAAAAAGCAACTAAATTTCCGCAATATGTTGTTATGAGAACAATAACTGCAATCCACCAAATTCCAATAATGAGCCGACCGCTATCTGCTTTTGGTAAATAAAGTCCACCTGAGACATGTTAAATAAATCCCAAAAAAAACATTTATATAGAAAAAATGAATCTGGTTTAAACTTAACAAATATTACCTTGTTGTAAGAGAGCTCCATAAATGTACCAAAAGCAATTTTTCATTTTTTGTAAACCTTTCGTTTTCAAACTGTCCAAAGCGCCGTGTTCATTAACCACAAATAAAATTGGTGCTGTTATTATCACTGAACAAATTAATCCGACCCATACCTTAAATGAAATGGATATTAATTTTCTTTATTTCGAATTCTCATAATGAACATTTGAAAATAAAGAAAATTAATATCCATATGGAACTTCGCTACTTATTTTACAAGTAGGTATAACCTATTTAATAACATGTTTTAGCAAGTTTTATAAACTGTTATAAGCATGTTTTGAAACAATTGCCCAATCGGAGTCCTGGACAAATTTTGTACAAAGGCAGTTATGATAAAACTTACTAGTGTTGTAAATGGTGCTGTAAACAAGTAAATACGGCTAATTTCATCCGGCTTTCGTATTAAGAAAGAATACTGTTGCACACTAATTGGAATTGTAAAATTAAAATTGTTATTTTCAAGTTCTTTTATAGTAGTCGCAACCGCCACAAATAAAAACTATGACATGGTAAATTAATATACTGTTATATTATGTTATAGAAAAAAAAAAATTACGTTAGTTGCATCAAGCATGACAGGCAAATTTGATGGTACTATATTTGTAATAGAACCTGGTAAACGATTTTCCTGCGAATGTATATGAATTTTAAAGCTTTGAATTTTGAAAAATTATGTATACCTCATCATTTTGGTTGACTTCTATACTCGGAATTTCATGAATATCATATCTAAACTTTATTAATATTAAAATAAATGAAGCTATGATTGATACTCAATTTCTTACGAAAAATTTAACTTTAAGCTTAACTCCTTTATTATTTCCATAACAATTCCTGCTGATTTTGGTATATCTAGCGTTCCATCCTGATTTTTTGAAATAATTTGCCATGGTGGATTCTGTAAGAATTTTTTAACTTACTCTATGTGTTTATAAAAACATATTTAAGCTAGAAAGTTAGAATATTGAGGGTAGTGTATTGAAGATTATGATTAATTATTTTTGCTGTATGTATTACTTTGTAAATTACGTTATATCTTACGTTATGGGTCAGAATATTCACGGAAATGTTTCGAAATTTATGTTCAACATGAGGAAAAATAGTATCTCTAATATGGAATCCGAACATGGAATTCCAAATAGCTGCTTTTATTAAGCCGAAATTTTGAGAAGCATCTAGAAATAAAGGCATTAAAAGTTTGCCATTTAAAGTAACGAAGTAGCATTGATACTTAATCCTAACTTCTTGGCTAGATAGCCAGAGCCCCATGATGAAACTGAATGAAAAATCCATTCCGAACAGCCTGCACACTTACTAGATGTAATTAAGTAATTCTAAAAAATTTGTGGTAACATTATATTTCTTTAAATGAATTATTGTTAAAAATGTAGATAATTGTTGCATTGTGCTTACTCTGATGAAACGTAACATTTCTCTTTGTCGTTCACCTTTTGTCAATCTTATGGCTTCCCATTCCTCATCTGATATTTGCCCATACAAAGCACTTTCTTCGCTTATTATTTTAGCAAGAGATTTAACAAATCCAGTAAGAAGCTCCGTTATTGTACAAAAAATAGATTCCTTTTGTTCAAAAAAATTGAAACATAGCAATATGAAAATACTATAAGTCAAAAGGATTCTGATAAAAGTTGTGCAATTATTTTTGATATAAATCATGTATGTAGCAATAATTTTAAATGTTGAAATAATTTTGAAGTATGAAATTAAATTTTAAAATTACTTCTAAAGTAAAATTGCCCTTTTACTTTAATATTAAAATCAAAAAATATCACTTGGTTCTAAATAAATTAGTACCTACTAAAATTTGCTCTGCCAAAATATCAAAAACAAAAATATTTGAAATAGCTGAATTGTGTACTTCGTGTACTAAAAATTATTAATTCATATGTGTATAAAAATTTTGGATAAGATTTCAATTTATGGTTTGGGACTTTACTAATTTTTACAAACCAAACTTTTAGAACTAAAAAAGCTTAGAAACGCTTAAAATAAAACATTTGTTTGAAAATTCGGCGGCGATAAATCGTGAATTAATCTAAAACAAGAGAATATTGGAGACAAGAACCCACAAGTTTTTTTTCCTGTCATGATGTGGCCAGATCAAATTATAATGCATCTATACATGTACACGTAAACAATTATGTTTCCTTAAAACATTCAATTTGAATAACTTTAAAATAATTTTTTTTTTTTAACAATGGAGAAAAATTTATGCGCCGACAACACTTCAATTTATTTAATATTTCAGCTCTTGTATTAAAAAGTGGTTCGGGGTAATGGCTTTTCACTTTGTAACGTCATAATATATGATGAAACATGAAACTTTAGTTTTACCACTTTTGGCCAAAAAGTTATTAAAGGACGAAAAAGAACTTTGGAAGTAAGATTTTTAATAGCTCATATACATGTTTATATCATTCCATTGAAGTCATCAAGATCGACCGAAGGTCAAGTTAAATATGTTTTCTTGCATATGAGCAATGTTATCTTGCATATGAGGGACTCATTATAGATTCCAAAGGTACGGTTTTTTTTTGAGAAAAATTAATATTTAAAATTTGTGAAATAATGGTGGTTTTTTCAAAAATATTATTAAATCTGGTAAAATATTCTACTCAACTTTTTAGCTTATTAACGACTTGAACGGTTTAGGAAATATAAGCTTTTAAAAATTTTCAGAATTTCGTTTTTTCGTGATTTTTTTTGCTCTTTCATATGACTTCACAAGTGTCTATTATTTGGAACTCAATAGGTAATAATACCTTTTGTTACTGACAAGAGCAATTTCGATATGTTGCCTTAAATCGTGAAAGGCCAATTTTTTTTTCGAAAAATATCATTATACAAATGCACGCTGGTATTTGGTGTTACAAGACCTTAAGTCTGTTGGGAAACTGTCTTCATTAATAGTATACGACTGTTATTTTCAATTTAAGCAAAACAAGCTTAATCTTGTTGATAGAAAGTTTTCATTCAAAATAAGTCATGTGCTGTAAAGTCATGTTCCGCACTCAGCGCGGGGATTCACGATAGATTTTTATACGTGGTTGCGTGCCACTGTTATCCCGCACTGTACAAATCTGTAAAAAACTACAAGTCAAAAATGTAAGTATTTTTTAAATCATTAGTAATCGATAGTGCTTAGCATAAAAATTCTCTCTTGAACCTTATGAAAAAAAAACTTTAAGAAAATTAACTAGTCTTAATTAAATACTAATATAAAAAAAATATAAAATTTTGCTAACCTGACATTTATCTTTAGTATTGTTACTGGCGAAAGCAACATTTGCACCTTCACTTATGTTTTGTACTAGAGTATAAACGTTGTATTTGATATCTGAACGGGCTGGTAGGAGAAATAACCATTGATTGAAACTGGTAAACATTTTTAATTTTGAAGCAGCGTTAATTACTAGATCTGCATAAGATGTGAACACAACAAATTTGTTATATTTAAAAACTGTATATTTTTTTAAAAGCTGTTCTATTGACATTTCTCGCTCCTCTTTTTTATTGCTCGCTTTATTAATAAAAATAGATATTGGACTCAATCGATTCTTTGGATGTTCATGAACTAAGGATGCTATAACATATGAAGTTTCGTCTTCTAAAGTGAAAAACAATTAAATTTGCCGTTAATTGAAAAATTTAAATAAATCACAAAGTATTAAGGTTTAATATAACTATTTGTTTCTAACTATATGTATTAGTTTCCAATTGACGAAGATTTTATGAAAATATGACCTTGAAAAAATCATAATTATATGCACTGAATGTTAAATTATTCACAACTATGTATTTGGTTAACTCAGACACATTTGAATTTATCCATAATTGAAGTGCTGATATAAAGAGGAATATAAATTACACAAAATTTAGTTTGTCTATAAGGTACTTTTTAAAAATTCTGAAGGAATTTCCCAACTTTTTACTCCCCGGAACAACATCATTAAAAAGATGAGGAGAGAATTTTTTCGTTTTCTTATAAAGGGAAGAAAATCTTCTTTCTTTTTTTAAAAGAAAGTTTTTTCTTTTCTTATCTCCGAAAATTGTCTTATATTACCAATTGATTCATCATATATCAGAGCTGCTGATTTCCATTTTAATATCCTCTGTGTTTTAATATCTAAAATCATTTGAGCGATATCTATACCTCTTGTTGTTAATGGAATCTGAAAATAAAGGTAGATTCTGTTAATTGAAGTTGAAATCAATATAATAAGAGAATTTTTGTATATTATTATTGTAAACGCGAACCAGTTTATATAAACGGCTAAGTCCCAAAATAAAGTTTTCTAAAACTTGATTTGCTTCTTAGAGGAAGACAGAATAATAGTAAGGCTTAAAATGAATTGTACGAGTTTTAGTTTTAATATAAACTTAGTAATATTTAGTTATAATATAATTTTACTTTATACAGGGTGATTCCTGAAGGTATACAATAACATATGCTATCGTAAAACAACATACGAGTATAAAATTTTGACAAATCTTGGTTTTCTTCCTATATCTTCTTTACTATAAAAGATTTTTCAACCCTTAGTAACTAAATTAAAGCTTAGGAACGTGACTTTTGTAAAAAAATTGCAATAATTCAATCTGGTTAGAAAAAACTGAAAAAATAAAAAAGGGGAAAAATTTGATTTGATTCAAGTTTGATGCTTGGTATTCTGACATAAAATATAAATAACTAAACCTTCAGAAACTGATTGTTTGAAGTCTTTATCTTTTTCCGAGCGGAAGTTATAATTAAGAAAAATTTAATAAGTAGAAATTTCGTGAAAACTCTTTAAAATCTCTGTAACACGGAAACCCTTGAGATTTTGCACCTAGGCCAAACAAAGGTTTTACCCATTTTCTCTCTAACCTAGGCATATCATACTCATTTATCATCACGGGCCATTTTAGGGTTTCCGCACATTACTTCGGGCCGCACAATAAAAAAGAACTTAAACTATTAAATTATACACAAATTGTGATTTTTATTATTTAAAATAAAAAGTAATATGTGCTTCCAAACATGGCAAAAACACGCTTAACTAATATTAACTGATTATATTATGTAATAGTAATTGAAATATTGGGAAATTGATTTATTTATAAATAATTATGAAATTTAGTAATTTCCACTTCTCTAATTTTTTGTTTTAATACAGAATATTCATTTTAACATCTATTAAAATCTAAAAATCTTCTTTCAAATTCAGTTTATAATAATTTAATCTGATTAATAAAATTCCAAATTTACTTAACTGATTTACAGTTTACAAATAAAAGAAAATTAAACGGGCTCAAATTATTTTTTGATTTATAGACAAACTAAAAATTCGCTTTCCACTTCTCGAAATAAACTAACGTAAAAATTCGGCTCCTGCTAATATTTACATATAGTTGTGAACTTTTCGCATATGCAGTTTGGTTTTTGGATGTGTGATAAATTCTCGCAGAACCTTCAGTCTGGTTTCACAACTTTCTTTTTGGTGAATGAATATTTGTCAAGAATATAAGAATTAAATTTCATAATTTTCAAACATAGTAACGGGCCGCAAGATCCAGAACTGCTGGCCACACGAGGCCCGCGTCTTTTGTATGCCTGCTTTAACCAATGATATATGTTGATGTATCTTTCTGAATCACCCTGCTACTACAGTTGAATATAAGCAGGTAAGCGGTAGCTAGATTAAATTTATGTTGTATCTATCATGAATATTCTAGAAATTTTAACATTAAAACGTGCAATTAATGTTATCAATTATATTCTATAATTAAGTACGTTCGAAGCTATATTGTCGGAACACATTTAAAATTGTATTTTCATGTGAAATTTTTTCCATATTACAAAAGAAAATATTCCAATTTTTTTTTCGTAGCGAATTGGAAAAAATATGTTTATTAGTTGCCCTTTTATTTATAATAGGATTACATCTTTTTAAAATATGATATAAAATATGTACGCCTGTTGCTTGCATATATTTTCTACACTCTCAAAGAGTGTAGAAAATTTTTAAGCAATTTGGTGTGTCCAAACAACAAGTTTTTAGAAATTCTAGTTAACTGTAATATCCGAATGATCTTTTTTTTTCTGATGATGAAAAAATTTAGAAAGTGTTTAAACAAATTACCAATTGTTATACTACATTTAAACGATCTTCTCTACAATTTTTTGAAATTTTATGGTTTTTTGGTATTTGGATGTGTGAATAAATATATGTATATATTTACTTATGTAAGTACTTATTGTGTTATAAATTTTTAATTACAATTTACCTTAAACAAAATTTTCACTTTTTGTTTTAATTATCAAGTGTAATTAAGACGTAATTTATTGTTGTTATATTATACTATAATATATATAGAATTACCACGTTTGTATATAAAATTACAGAAATTTTTAGTACATACTTGCATTTTTCTTGGCGGATTTTTCTTCTTTCTTTATATTATGTTTGGTTTTATTTTGCTGAGGTGAAACGGTTTTTAAGTAGGTATGTTTAATTATGCCCAAAGTTTAGTATTTTAATACATTTGGAACGAATTGAGTTTTATTAAGAATTTTATTGAATTTATACTGTCAGATTTAATATGTTTGCTTTGAAATTACCTTAATATGTGTTATACATAATTTCAATCTATATATATGTTCGTGCGCATTATAAAAACTACAGGGTAGGATCCCATATATTCTATTTCATTTGTATAACACTAAGGCGCACGTACAGATTCTTAATTTGGGACTTTAAACTGATTTGTCTACGAACGTTTTTCAAAATCTAATTAAAATTTTGTGCTCTTAACTTGATAAATAAGCAGCTTATACATTTTTTCGAAAATGACATTTGCAATTATAGCATATAAAAAGAAAGATACACAGTCAAACATTATTAGAATTTTTAATATGAGTTTGCAAAAACAAAAAAAAAAAACAAAAATTAATAAAAATTCCAATATTTTTTGTTGTTAATAAATATGAGAATTATAAACTGTCGTGGTATAAAACAGACAGTCAAAAAACACCGGTAGATTATTGTAAAATTTTTTGGTGTTTAGGTAATTATCCTTATTGCGAATTTCATTCATAGCATTGAACTCGGAGAAATTACGAATTTCATAGTAATTTTTTTCATGCTAATTCCGAAGTACATGTAGAGTTATTGTATTCTGAAAAGTTATAGAGCAACTATAAGTAATTCTCGTAATGATTGTAAATAAATATGAAACTTTTACTAAAGAAATTTTCAAGAGTAGAAAGCGATCATTCAAAATTGGTCAGTTTAAGTTTCTGTCCACTTGTAAATATTTATGTACATTGAGTTAATATTAATACAGGGTAAAATGTATACAACAAGTCAATTGCAATATACTAGCTTAAAGGAATTTCTGAAAGGACATCTATTAATATATATTTAAGTAGCCAAGCAAATAAGCTTAAGGATACGAGATCATTATTGTTTTTAATTGAATTTCTTTTTATATGTTAATTAACTAATTTTTACAGTCCCTGTTGTGTATACAATAAATTTTGCATATCGAGTTTTCGGTGGGAATGCACTTCTCCATAATAGGGAAGTGTAAGTAAACTATTTTTAGCAACCTGTCGATCTGTCGGTCTGTGTGTGCACACGTGTATCTTAAGTTCTGCACAACCGATTTTGATGAAATTTTATATGTAAGTTTATTTCGACCATGGCACGGATTGATCAACTTTTGCAATATATCAGGTGTCGGGATGTGCACTTTTTAGCGGGCCTGTTTTACATTTTCGACCATTTTAAAGAAACTATTCAACCAATTTGCTTGAAATTTCATATATAAGCTTCGCTCGACCGTCCGTGAAACCTCCCAATTTTCGGAAGAAATCAGGTGTTAGCAACTAGACGTTTACTACGGGCCAAATACACATTTTTGTGTATATCAAGAGAAATAATCAACCGATTTTATTGAAATTTATTATTAAATTCTTCGTACTAAAATAATTAACATACAAATTTTTTGGAAAGATCAGGGCGCGAAAACTGATCTGCGGGCCGATTTTATATTTTTCACCATATGTACGGAACGAATTGATGGAATTTCTTGAAATTTGATATTTGATTCTGGTTGTTACGGAAATTAACTGGCGAGCATTTCAGGGAATTCAGGTAGCACAAAGCAAAATTCTACTAAGAGCCAAATTTACATTTTTCTAGGTATGTTAACTATACGATGACTAACTAATCTAGTGGAAGCCACAACAGTTTTCTCAAATAATATGGAAAATGGGTATCAGACGGACGTGATTTACACAGACTTTAGCAAAGCCTTTGACATACTACTACATGAAATTATTATTTTAAAATTGAAACTCTTAGGATTCCCTGACAACTTCTTAGCATGGATAAAGTCATATCTTTCTGGCAGGACAACAGATTTCGTTCAGCAATTTCCTCGCCTCTTTCGTCTAACTCTGGTGTACCCCAGGGTAGTCACTTAGTGTTCATAATTTCAATTAATGATGTTGTTTCGATGCTAACGCGCAGTAAGGTATTAATATATGCTGATGACATGAAAATTTTTAAAAAAATAAGCACTACAAATGATGCGTTGTTTCTTCAAAATGATCTTAACCGCTTCTACGGCTGGTGCTCAAGTAACAAACTAAAAATCAGTGTAAGTAAATGTGCACAAATGTGATATTCTATGCAAAAACGGCCATTTTTTACAAACTATACTTTTAATGGCCAAGCTCTTAGTCGAGTTGATTCAATAATGGACCTGGGTGTTTACTTCGATAGCAAGTTATCATTTATAAACCACTATAATCATATCATTTGCAGATCAAGCTCGATGTTAGGTTTCATTAAATGCTGGTCAAAGGAGTTTAATGATCCTTATGTCTTAAAATCATCCTACACATGCCTGGTCCGTTCCCATCTTGAATATGCTTCACAAGTATGGTCACCCTATTATGATATACATATTAATAGCATTGAGTCTATTCAAAAAAATTTTTTGAGAAAAAAAAAACTGCGCCTTCTTCCTTGGGAGGACCCCACCATTCTTCCACCTTACGAGCACAGACTAAAATTAATTGACCTACCCACACTGGGTAAAAGACGTGATGTCGCGGACTTGTTATTCATTTTTCAGCTTATGAAAACTGACTTAATCTCCCCCGACATTTTAAATAAAATTGTGTTTAATTCCAACCTTAGGTCTCATTCCCCGGATCTTTTCATGGTTCCTTTTCATAGGACTAATTATGGGAAACATGAATTTGTCAGCAGAATGCTGCGTTTATGCAACAAACACAAACACAGACTTGACTTTTCACTGAAGAAAGACACGATGAAAAAGCTTCTATTTACTTATAGTTAAGTATAATCCTTTGCTTTATTTTAACAAATTCTTGTTTTAGCTTTTCATTGTCTATATTCATATTTAATGGAATATTATTACTAATAAGTTTTATTTTGTATAATTTTTAAATTTAATTTTTAAGTCAAAAATTTGTTCTGTCTAAAAAATATGTATCTGTATATTCATTCTTTAATTTTAAGTTATAAATAAATAAATAAATAATAAATAAATAATAAGCTTACTAATGTTCTTAAAATTGAAAAGAAGTATTTAACAGACATTTTTATAGTATTCTTTAACATTTTCACTTAACTAGACAATACACATTGCCTTTATGTGCTGACCACATCAGATTTTTTTTGTTTTGTAAAAACTATTATTAAATTAAGAGCACAACTATATAGCAAATTTCAAAATATTTTTTAAAAGTTTTTACAAAATACTTGAACTAAATTTTATGAGATTTAAATATTTTAATATTAATGTTCGGCAATTGCAACTAAAATAATAAAACATAGATTTTGAAATTGTGAAAATCTCTTTCGGATTCATAATCTGTGCGAATAAGATTTATAGGTACATTAAATTTCATGTGCACAGTTTTGTTTGAAATATGTAGAAATAAAAGGAATATTCACAAAAAGGGTGAATGTCTTTCAATTTTTACACAAATCTGTTTTAAAAAAGTTACTAACACCCTTGAAATATTTGACTTATATAAACAAGAATACTAATATTAATTATTTCAACTTTGTTTTAGAGAACTTTGAAACTGAATTCTAGCCTAAAAGTTTAGTAAGTTTATTTTATTTATTTGTATTCGCTTTATTTTTGACTTAATTTTCGGGGTATCTTACACATTTCATTTTTATTGAACTTGTAACACAAAACTCAATACCTTGTAAGATAGAATTTTGGTCTACTTTTGGTATAATTGTTTTGTACATCTACATGAAATTTCAATTATTGTATACACAAGTAAATCCATTGTAAGCAAATATATGCTCTTTTAATATATACATTGATACTACTTGAGTTTATAACATAAAATACCTGAAAGAAATTTTACACATTAAAAGTTTTATCACAGAGCATAAAACTAACACAATAAGTTTATATGCTTTACGCAAATTTAAATAGCAATTGTTTAATTTAATAAATTATTTATTTCAAAATATATAATGAGAAATTATTATGCAAAAATTTTAAACAAAAGATAAAAATTACCATTAAAGCTTGATCAATTGGTAAACGAGGGCAATCAACTTCAGTTACAGCTAATAATAATATTGAATTAATTTCAGCGGATTCAAAGAAGGACCATGTTTTTTGACAATCTGATACAGTAATAGCAGCAATAAAATCTGTGCAAAAATTTAAACAAATAATTATGGGTTTTGAAATATATAATAAGGAAAAGGAAATTGGGATCAATACTGAAATTAAGATCAATACAAACTACGCGAAAAGTGGGTTATGAATTAAAATTAAGTGTTAATTTACTTTTAATTTTTTGCTTAAAGTACAATTTTCAGATCTTATCATGCAATTAATTCTGCAGTGAAGATAAAAAAAAATTCGTAAAATTGAATAAGACATGCACTTATAGATGTAAGTTATTTGTTGATTGAATTTATCACTAATTGAAGCTGAATAATTGAATTTTTGTCTTATTATTTTGTACTATTCTACTCTATTGTTTTGACTATATGAAGAGGACTTTTTTGTATTCGCTCACTTTACTTACATATTGAAGTGTATAGAAAATTAAATACTAAGTTATAAACCTTTAACTTTACACTATGTGTAACAAAAAAAAAATACTTAAACTAAAAATTACATAGTTATTTTATATTTCACAACATGCATATTTATCAAAAGCAAAATCATTACAATACACTCTTTTGCAATACGCTATATTTAATGCTTATAGTTTACTTAGTTAAAACACATGAAGTCCAATTTGTACAGAAAACCTTTTTTTTTTGTGACATACCTAAGCGTTTTAAATCCTTTAAGCAACATCATAAATACTATGTACATATATAAATTAATAACACTAGAGCTCAATTAAGGGAAAATTTCAAACAAAATTGATCCTTTTAAGGTTGACTTAGCTTACCTTTTTTTAAACGTACTGAGCCCCAACTAAAATAGCGAATATTTAAGCCGCCATATTTTAAATTATCGCGTACAGTATCTTCAGCATGTTTTTTAACTAAATGTAAGATATTATTTTCTTTACTGTTTATATATTCTTGATCAACAATCACAGCTGAAAAATTTATAAGTAGTTAAGTTATTTGAAGGTAACGTATAATGAGAATTCCTTTTTGAAAAATTAATAATTTACCTAAACTAGCATTTGCTGTTAGAAACGATGAAAAGTCATTTGCTTTTGATTTTGAAATGGAAATTAAAAAGAAGTTTAAAAATAAAAGCAACTTTTCCATTTTAAATCCGAAATATGACTAAAAGTTTAATTTTTGTTAAATGAAATCAGAAACCTTGTAAAAGTGTATTTTCAATTATAAAACCTAATTATCTATTTATAAATTTGAAAAATTTTCTTAAAGAACAAAAAAAATTAAGGACCTACTATCTAAGTCTTTAAGACTTTTAAAACGGTTGTGTTATATTCATATGGGGTTTCCAGCATAAGTAGAAAAAATGTAATTTTGACTAAAACACACGCAAGAATTTGTGTTACAAATTTTTGTGATAGCTTCGAAATCACCTAAATAATTTTTAATTCTTTTGTGTTGATTAGAAATAAAATAAGAATATAAATCTTGTCTGCTAGCCAGATCTCATCTTATAAGGTTTCGTTGTTGAATAGTTCGTACATTACAAACCGTCTTTTGCATATCAATGCTATTAATTTATAAACAAAACATTATTGCATGCCGCTTATTATTTGATTATACCAGGTTTAGCTAATCTTTTTGATTTAAAGACTTTAAATTGGTTTCAAAATTTTGAAGAACTGCCTTTTATGTGTAACACCTACGGGAGGCTCAAATGTTCTTTTCATTAAAACCCATAACTTTCTTCTTAATTATAATGTATGTGAGCGTGCATTGGTTACTCATAAATAAATGAATATATTTCTTTAAATTTTTAATAAGACAATTATAACCGTAAATTAAATTACACATTGCATGACCATTGATATAAAATAATTTAAGAAACAAAAGTAAAACCTGCAAAACTAGTCAGAAAACAAAAAAAAGAAGCGTATTTTCATACATTCTCTTTGAATACTCTTCATCGTCTTATCGTATGTGTGAACTTATGTTATGCATATGCATGCACGAGTACATGTTTATATTGATTCTCATACAGGCAACATGCTTAAATCTATGTTCACAGGTATAATATATATGTACGTATGTACATAAATAGTTTGTATAGTTACATTAACAAAAATTACTGAATTACAATTAAATTACTTTGAATGCTTACCACGGAAATCACGAATCGATAAAAATACTACTATAAAAACTATCAAATATTGTTTATATATATGTGTGATATTTTGTTATATAAAGAACTACCAGCATATAATATATACACACTCAAATACAATGTGAACATGCAATGTGAATGCAATGAGAATGTCCAGAAAATCTGGCACAAAGCATACCTTAAATATACACGAACAAAAATATATCACATGAGTAGGAAAATATTATTGGCGCTATGGTTTAAAAATAAAATGAACATAATAAACTAAGGCAAAAAATAACGAGATCGACATTATTACAACTTTTTTGTAAAATCATCAAAAAAAGAAGATGAAAAACAGATGCGAAATTTAACAAGTAAAAACGTTTCAGTCGGTATAAACCGATTGAATTATACCCTGCACCTTTCGTTATTGTGTAGCAATTACTTGAATCTCTAAAATCATTCTATAGAAACTTCACGGACATGTCTGACCTATAATTGGACATCCGACTGCCAAGTTTCATGAATCTGACCTTATAATTTTTCCAAATATTTAAAATTAGCTTTTGGAGTTGTATGGTAAGTACCTGAAATTGCCAAGCAATTCCACCCAAACTTCACAAATATATCTGATCTATAATCGGACACACAACTGCCAAGTTTCATGAATCTGACTTTATTATTTTTCCAAATATTAAGAATAAGCTTTTAGACTTGTATGGGATCTACTCGAACCTGTTACGCAATTCCACCAAAACTTCAGAAATATATGTGACCTATAACTCGACATACAACTGCCAAGTTTCATGAATTTGACTTTATTATTTTTCCAAATATGTAAAATAAGCTTTTGGAGTTGTATGGCAAGTACCCGAACCTGTCAAGCAATTCCACTAAAACTTCACAAATATATCTGATCTATTATCGGACACACAACTGCCAAGTTTCATGAATCTGACTTTATTATTTTTCCAAATATTAAGAATAAGCTTTTAGACTTGGATGGGAGCTACTCGAACCTGTCAAGCAATCGCACCAAAACTTTAGAAATATGTCTGACCTATAATTGGACACACGACTGCCAAGTCTCATGAATTTGACTTTATTATTTTTCCAAATATTTAAGATAAGCTTTTAGACTTGTATGGGAGCTACTCGAACCTGTCGAGCAATTCCACCAAAACTTCAGAAATATATTTGAGCCATAATTGGACACATGATTGCCAAGTTTTATGAATCTGACTTTATTATTTTTCCAAATATTTAAAATTAGCTTCTGGAGTTGTATGGCAGGTACCCGAACCTGTCAAGCGATTCCTCTAAAACTTCGGAAATATATTTGACCTATAATTGGACACATGACTGCCAAGTTTCATGAATCTGACTTTATTATTTTGCCGAATATAAAAAATTTGCTGTTGGAGTTGTATGGCAGCCACCCGAACCAGTGCAGCTATCCCATTATAATTTTTAAAGCATATGTAGAATATAATTGGACACATGTATACAAAATTTTATATTTATACCTTTATTAGTTTTTGAAATATTTAAAATAAACTCTTTGAGTTGTATGGCAGCTCCCCGAACCTGTTGTCCGAATTGGTCCAATAACAATAGGGCTCGTCCTTGGCACAAAAGAAAAAACTTGTGAAAGTTTGGTGTCGATTGCATTATTCGTTTTTGAGTTATCGTGCGATCGGACGGACGGACGGACGGACGGACGGACGGACGGACGGACGGACGGACGGACGGACGGACGGACGGACGGACGGACGGACAGACGGACATGTCTAAATCGACTCAGAATTTTACGCTGAGCAAGAATATATATATATGTCCATACCGCAGATGACTCCTTCAAGTAGTTACAAACTCCATACCAAAGTTAATATACCCTTCACGAAGTGCAGGGTATAAAAATTGAAAGTACTGAGCTTTTTCAAATAAAATAAATAACAACAAAAAAATAAATTGACGAACAAAATGTTGGTAGGATATAAAGTAAATGACCTGGAAATGATATAGTGCAGCAATTCATTTAAGCGAATGGAATGTTTCCTTAATAATGAGCTATAACTTATGTACCTATATCCAAAAAAGTGATTGTTAGGCAACCAAAATTATTTCTTTTAAAAATATTCTCTTTTAAAAAAGAAATCCTCCAAGTATAAGACTTTACAATGTTTTTGCTACGTTTCAAGTGGAGTTAATCGATATACAGGGAGTTTCGTATAAGGTGGTAAATAATTTCAGGGATGATTCTTTCATCATATTCCAGCAAGAAATTGCAAGGGCGTGGGGGACGCATTATTTTGTTTTCCGCAAAATTTCGAGTTTTTTAAAAAATTTAAACTAAAATTCTGACTTTGCTGAGGTTTATTTCCATAACTATAGCTCAAATCAAATCGATTGTAAGACCGAAAGAACAATTAATTGTCTCTAAAACAAACCTCCGTCGGTTATTTTATGTGCCATGCTTCCGAAGTTATAACCATTTATTTATATGCAGGAAAAATCTGGGACCTTTTTGCCAACAGGCGTAGCTCGAAAACGAATATATCTGCGCCAACCCCCTTTAATACAATATTTTACTAGAAATTCTTTAAATAATCATCTCTGAAATTATTTTCTATCTTATGCGAAAAACCTTTTATAATATTCGAACTGACTTAAATCACTTTATTAAAGTAATCCTCTTTTGCCCTTCAGCTTTATTTTTTTCTGTTTAGAATTTAAATTGATTTTGTTTTAGGCGGTTATAATCGTTTTTTACATATTCTTAATTTAGATTTATTGTTATAGTTTGTATTATGTTATGCGCTTTATCTGTGTATGAACAGATACAGGTTCTTCTTACAAGGGCTTCTACAAAATATTATTTGATTTGTGCTACATACTCTAGTAGCTCTAGTTTCACATTTTTAATTGAATTTTTTTCTGTAATATTTCTTTAGAATTTTTAAATGAAAGTTTATAAATTATACAACATAATTTTCTTTATTTTTCAAGTTTTAAATTTGTGAGGTAATAGAAAATCTCTAAATCCAAAAACAATTATCTTTTCCTTTCTTTCTCCTCCTTCTCTAAATAATAATTTGTGAACAAACGAATTATGTTTTATAGAGGCATTTAAGATGAACTATGATTGTAAATCATGATCTGCCACAGGTACACAAAAATTATGTGACCAAAAAGTGACTGTAGAATGATATTTTGAAAAGATTTATTTTTTTGCTTTTAAGGAAGTCACAAATTAATCTCATCCTAGTTAAGTGGCTTTCATTATTTTCTTACTTAAGTAAATGGAGCTTTGTACTTTTAGATAAAAAACGATAAAAAATAGAGTTGATCATGGCATCTCTGTGATACCCATCCGAACTTGTTATTTTACAAGGGGGAATAAATGACATAGCTATGGGTATGGAGCAAACAATGACTTACACTGGTCTTATTTAACAAGAATTGAAATTTTCAGAACTCGACACTGATTAAAAATGCATGTCTATGTCACAGATTTTTTTAGCACTACCAACATAGTGGTGAGTTTATAATACCCCTCGAACATACATTTGCACGGAAATGATAGTTGCCATGTTATACTATATTAATTTATGCAAAATTTCGGTACTGTATGTTCAACAGTTTCTAACATCTGACCAAAAAACTATAGAAGTTGTATGGCAGATAACACATAAAAGTCCCAATAATATACTTCTTACGCGAAAGCTCTATATTACAGCGTCAATAATTTCTTAAATATTATCAAATAAGTTTTAAAGTTGTGCGGCAGTTACTTGAATCACATTGTACTTAAACAGGATTCCGACATCTAGTTTTAAAATTTATTTCAGACCATTACTTCTTAGCGTTACAAACAGAAGGCAAATTTATAATCCCCTTCGAATATACGTTCGTACGGACATAACTACGGTTACATACAATATAAATCTTAATATCTATAAGCAATGTTTTAAGGAGTGTTACAGGTAAAAAATAGGTAAAAGGAATTAAACTACTTTCTTGTACTTGACTTACATATGAAAATTAAATCGTTTTTAATTGATACTTGTACATATTTGATTTCTGAATTGATTACAAAAATCATTTCATTCATATGAAGTGAACCGTTATAACTTTGAAAATTGTAAAAATATGATAACTGCATACACGTTGCAACCTGTAACCAACCAAAAATTTTGATTAACTCTACTTATGAAGACACAATAACTTTACTAATAATTGTTTTATAGAAGAGAAGGTTTCGAATAATATGCAAAGGTATATTTAGCAGTGCAAAGTTAAGTTTGAAAACTTTTGAATAGTTTGAAATAATTATTTCTTACGAGTGATGTGTATGCGAAAAAAATAAAATATTATTTAAAATAATAAAAAATTTAGTTGTTAAAAATTTTAACATTTTTTTTAAATTCGTTTATGATATTATTATAATAAATCGTTCATTACTTATTTACATGTTGTTTTCTTTTCGGATTATTTCATATGCGTCTCTTATTACATATTTAGATTCGAACCAAAATATCGAGGATATTTATAAGCATTAAAAATATCACAAAACAGGTAAGGTTTTAAAAAATACCTAAAAACCAAAAAACAAGATCTTTAAATCTTATGTAATAAACTTTTATGATACAGTTCATAAAGCAGTTTAATCTCAATTGAAAGACTAAGTTAAAAATATTTGATTCCGGTTGAGAGTTTTTTGCTCCATTTACCTAATCCCTGACAATTTTATTATCAATATAATTTTGCCTGCATAATATGCATATGTATACCTTATGTATACCTTCATTCATATATGATAGTCTTTATTAAACAATCGGTTAAAAGATTCACTTTTTCTTTCATTTGTTAACATTAAATTATTTTAAAAAAAGCCCAAGAATGAAAGCAGACAATAAAAAAAATATTGCAATATGATCAAGTGGAACAGGTTGTGATACAATATACTTTTTATGACGTTTTACAATGTTTACGATTTCTTATATAATTCTTTTGTGCAAAACACTTTTAAAAAGAAAAGAAAAAGTAAAAACCAAAAAAAAAGAACTAAATCAAAGCAAATATATCAACTACAATATCTGATCGGACTAGGTCACAATGGTCAAAGAAACTACTTACATTATTTTTATTCACACCGTTATAAAAATGAATAACAATCATATAAAGTAAGTGAAAAAGTAAAATATGGAGCAAAGTAATTACAAGTTAAAGGAGGTAACATTGAGCAGTCAAAGGTTATGTGCTTACATAAATAATGACTCATAAAAATAAAAGACATAATGAAATAAGAATTAAGAAAATTGAAAAAAAAAAAAATTTTTTAATGATGGTTCGTAGTTTTTTTGCTAGTGGAATATTTAATAAATTTTAAAGAGGTACCTACTTATGAAAGTTAATTATATACATATTTCTCTTTACATAAAATATGTATATAAATAAACCGTTAGAAGTAACGATATTTTAACATGAAATTTTTCACCATTTTTTTTATATAATTTAGTAAATTATATTTACTGGAACTTTTTGGACAATCTTTCATAATACCCTTAGAAAGTCAAGTTTTTATGTACATTACAAATTCAAACCTTTTATTTTACAAGACAGATACTCTTTAAATTGCAAATGTCAATATTGTAAACTTAGAAAAAAAACGGTAATTTTCTGGAAGATTTAAAAAGAAATTTAAAGAAAACTAACTAAAAATAAGTAATAATAGCATTAACCAGAGAGTTACTCTATAGATTTGCTGTATAGACATGCTCCACAGATTTAATAGTCTGCTAAGACGCACTTATTTGACAGGAATGATCAAATTTATTGAACAAAAAGGAACACTAGGTTCTTTTTACCTTTGTTTAAAACGATGGGAACTTAAAAGTGCTTACTTACTCATTTTAAAACAGATGTGTACGGTTTTACTTTAGTATTTTTGAGAAAACTACTTACTATTCGCTTTCTAGAAACATTCATTAAAAATTTAGCTTCTTAAAATTAAAAAGAAAAATATTTTTTTTTGATTTTTTGTTATTTTGTCACCGTCATTTTTTTATTGCAAAAATATAATAAAAAAATGAGTAATACAATTATTACAATCTTTTTTACAAAAGATTTTTCTACATATAATATACAATATTTTATCAGGCACCATTTATATCTATGCATATATGATGCTTTGTATTTACAATTTAAAATGTATAAAAATACATGATACATGAATATATATTTATGTTTATATATACATAGGTGTAAATTTTTTTATATTCTTATATGGTTTGCGTCTCACTGTTTTTATGAACTTAAATACTAATTAAAGCAAAAATTATTACTTATACAAAATTGAGAATAATTCTAAATAGAAATATTTATATACAAAAGAACAGTCATCTCGTTTCCAAAAAGCAAAGATAAAAAAATCCTTTATTTAGAGAATTATAGTAAGAGAATTGTAGGAAAAGGATTTTTTTAGTTTTTGTTTTTGGAAATGAGTTTTTCACAATTTTCGTTTAATTGTTTTTTTTTAGGTTTTTTTGCAAATGTTTTTTGTTTTTCTTTTAAATTCGGTTATCATTTCGTTTTTTTTTTCTATAAAAGGACTAGCTAATAGCTTCACATATTTTATTGCAGCTTTTTGTTTTTTTATGTTCGTTATCGGCTTGATTGAATTTAATATGGTCCCGATTTACCAGGTGGCCCATAAGATGTTGATGGTCCTGATCCTCCGCCAATATCATTGCCACCAATATCACCACCGATACCAGTACCACCGCCAATTCCACCACCTATTCCCCCACCAATTCCACCACCAATTCCTCCACCAATTCCACCTCCAATACCGCCACCTTCCTTTTGTGTTTTGTACTTAATAAAGTAAACTTCTGGTTTAGATGGTTGAGTTGGAGCAGCAGTTGGAATAACAATATCAGGTTGTTCATCGGGTTTCTTAACCAAAACATAAACCAATGTTTTTTCTTCGTTTTGTGGTGCAACTGGAATAATTGGTTGTTGGTAAGATGGTGGAGATGGTGCTTTAATGAAAATAATTTTATAATGTTTTTGAGATTGAGCTTGAGGCAAAGGTCTTTGTGGGCGAATTTCTTCTTGTTCTGGGGGAGGTACATGCACATATATGTGTTTTTGAACTAAAGTACCGCCACCACCACCTCCAAATCCACCACCAAAACCACCACCAAAACCACCACCACCTCCACCTCCACCGCCACCTCCAAAGGATCCACCTCCAAATCCTCCTATTCCGGATCCTATAAAATATAAATTATTTTCATTATTTTAATTGTCTTTTTTAAATTCTTTAGTACTAGAAATATTTGAATATTATAAAAAATTGTATTATCTAGAATATATGAGTACCTCCGAAACCGCCACCACCTCCAAATCCTCCACCTCCGGATCCTCCGTGGCCACCACCGCCGAAACCACCACCGGATCCTCCACCATGGCCACCGCCACCGAAACCACCACCACCACCACCGGATCCTCCGCCAGGACGATAGTTATATCCAGCTTCCGGCCTGGCGGCGACAAGTGTTAAACAAGATAATAAAATAAAACTTTTCATTATGCGTTTGTTGAAATCAAAAAATAGTAATTGAAAAGCAAACAAAAATGTTTTTATTTTATAAAGTTTCTAATAGTTTCGGTAACACCAATATTTTTTTTTATTTTTTTAAGCGCTTATTTAAAAGCGAAAGATGTTTACTAATCTAGCTTGAATTATGAACTGACATATCATTCGACTTGTAACTCCAATTTATATCAACAGAAAGAAAATTTTTAATCAGAAAATATACGTACATAATTTTAAAAGTGGAAAGAAAATGCTGCTGCTGACGGCTCCAATTCACTCTCAGTTTCATTTAAAATACTTTTTTTTTTTCTTTTATTTTAATACTTTTTATTTTCCTCCTTCATAATGAAAATAATGTTAAATTAAATTTAAAACTGTAAATATGTGAATGTGATTGTGTGACACTATACCATAAGTTGTAAAATCTTGGAAAAATAAAAAAAAAATACTAAAAGAAAATCCGAAAAAAAACTAAAGAGCACCTGAAAATAAACAAATGAACGGCGATGGCGCATTTTACATAACATGGTTCATCATCAATATAACCATGATAATCACAATTCACAACCACTAAAATAACTGTAAATAGTATAGTATAGCAATGGTACAAAAAGAATTCAAAATTTAAGAGCGTGCTCTGGGCTTTGTAAATGTTTTGCTGAAGATAGTACAAGATGTTTTCATTTACTTTTTATCATTTTCTTATTTTTGGGATTATAAATAAAAGGAAAAGAGGAAAATCTTTTAGAAATTACCTAACTCGAAATGGAATGATGATACATTAAAAAGCACAACGACAAAAAAATGATAATAATTATTATGAAGCTATGAATACGGGGATGAAGCGAAACAATAAAATAAGTAATCGAAGAAAAAAACTTCGTCTTCAATACAAAATCTCATAGTTTCGAGAAATAATAAATATAATAAAGCATTACGAAGAGATGATGCGAAAACTACCTTAAGAAAAAAAAGGAAAATATACAGTTAGTTAGACTGTTTAATAAAAAAAAATATAAAAAGAAACATAAAACGGTTATTGTACGTTCAATTCACGAAACGAGGAAAACTGACATTCACTTTTTAATTTTTTTCTTTTGTATTTTTCATGAGTTCCCAAAGAAATTGGCGTCCAATTTGATATTACAATATTTTTTCAAAAACAAAAACAACAAACAAAGAAATCACATTATAATAAATGAAGATTTTAAAATTCCTCTAAACATGGAAGGGTTTTTTCATACTTTTCTTTTCTTCTTCTCTATGTATGTACATTTAAACATTTCCGCAAAGATTAAATTCAATGCACTAATGGTAATTTTTTGTCGGTAACACAAAAAATAGTGAACAAGAAGAGAAAAACTAACTCTTTAGGTACCGTTATAATATTAGACATTATTGGAATTCACTTTCAATTATGTTTTTATTTTTTACATATATTTTGTTGCTATATAAGAACTACTACAAGAGTTAACAATACAAATCTTTGAGAACATATATATGTTTGTATAACAGCTGTAATTTAAAACTTATAAAATTAATAGTGTAATTTACTACCTTATTACAGAAAGCTCCAGTTGATTGTGAGGAAAAACTTTTTCTATGAGCTCTGAATTCCAACAATATGACGTAAATATGTAATAAACGAATCAAGTTTGTGATTGACTAACTTTGTTTTGTAAATTAAAGTGGTCTTCAACGAGAAACAAAATGTATAGTTGAAGTGAATATGCAAAAAAGTTTGATATGAGAGTTCAGTTTTGATAATTCAAAGAATTGTTTTTCACATCTTATTAGGACGCGCAAAAAGCATAATTGATATTAAATTAAAGTAATATATGTATGTATATCTACACATTAGCTTATTTATGTATATCTACATATTAACTTATTTTCCAGGGCTCACGAAAAATTTAAATATATATATGAACATAATAGCAACCGTTTTTATGCTATGTATATTCAGCCTATAAAAGTCACAAAACCGTATAAAAATCCACAGGCTTTAGAAGATTTCAGATCCGTTAACTATACCTCTACGCCTTTTGTCTTCGGAGGAAAAAATGTTGAGCCGACTTTCGAAGAAAAGCTTAATATTGCATATCAAAAATTATGCATAATATTGCATATCATGGAAAATGTGACTCATTAAATTCCTGAAAAACAAAAAATTTTAATACAAGTTTTGCTTCTTGCCTTTGAGTTGAGTCGCTTTGTTTCTTAGCTAGTATTTAAAAAAAAATATTTCCTTGAAAGGCCAACGATAATATGTATAATGTTATAAATATATCTCTAATATTTTATCTCAAAAGACAGATAGAGTTTATCCCCAAAAAATGGATAAACAATGGACGGAGTGAAGGTTAAACTTTCTGTTAGGCAAAAATCTTGGATTTAGTTGGACCCCATTGCTTTGTTTCAATATTAGTAAAAATAGTAATCTAAGTAATAATTAAACTTGAATCATCTTTGTTTAAATAATTTCAAATATCGCAGGATATAAACACTTCTAATCCTAGAGAAGATGTATGTAAAGAAACGATTTACTCTATGCTTACTTTAATTTATTTAAATTTTTTAAATAATTAAATTTGTTTACTTGTTTTCTTTGAATTCGCTGATAGTAGAAACTGTATTGTGAAATTCTATTGTTTCTATTAAAGTGTATAACCATACGCCTTTATGTTGAAACTAGGTTCAAATTTCATTAATCAAAATTGTCAAGCTTTTTGCATCTCTAATTTTGTACAGTTAATCAATGATATCTCCAATTAATACAGTTAACCTGCAACAAAAAGATATGTAAACATTTTTTTGCGAAATAATATTGTTTTAAGATATATTTGTGTAGAAAATCTTGGGCGGTGCATAGACTTAAGCAGGTGACAGACGCGCAGATATTGTAAAAGTAATATGGACATTTTTCGAAAAGTTTGAAAAAATGGCAACATATAAAAATGTTATGTAGCTAATTTATGTTAATTAGCTAATTTATTGTTTAAACAGACAGAATTAATTATAAAATTTCAAAGAAAGTTTATTGTTTTCCAAAATGTTGTTGACAATTTTGATAATACCCTGATTCTATTAAATAAATTATATATACAAGCTGGAATGGAATATATATACAAGCTACCTGACAGATCTTAATTTAGCTGAAAATGGTTTGTTTACGTTTCTTTAACAATGATTTCTCGTCATGTGAAATTTGATTACAATATCTCTAAAATTTATTGTATACGGTTGACAAAAAGTTGATTTATGGGTTCAGGGGATATACTTTTAGCAGGTATAAAAATAAACTTGATTTCTTCAGATTGTACTTATATTTATGTACCATTCTCATTGAAAGATTCATACCACACTCTCAAAAGTTTAATTTGAAAAATACTTGATTCAAATATAGAGCAATTTACATTTTCTGGATAAACACACAACAATACTTATACAAATGTATGTATAGCATATAATTTTTTGTATGTATTATCAAAAGTAAGTACTGGATTCAACTTAACGAATCTATATTGATACGCATGAAGAAGTCTGAAACCAGACCTTCAAAAACTTAAGTCTCGTTTAAGGCATAAAAAAATGTTAATGGAAAGGTGTGGAAATGGAATATTTTGTGCTAAGTTTGTTTTATAACGTTACTGTCTTTCAGCGTATATATATTAAAAATTAAATAAGTAACGTGCATAATAAATGCAAAATTAAAAGTAAAGCATTTCAATGGAATTTTACGGTTTTTTTCGTTTTTGGATTTTCTGCTGCGTATTATGTCCAACTTGAACTTTTGCAAGACTCGTTGATTCTTAAAATCCCAATATAGTTTTAATTTTAGTAAATGAAATCCAATGAACTTTTGAACTAAATTAAAAATTATAAAATAATTGATAACAATCTTGATATAACTTGGAACGGTGTACAAACATACATACATATGTATGTATAACCTTCAATATAGTGGACATACAAATACATACGTACATGCAACATAATTATTTATATTATGATTTTGAGTATTTATATAATTGTGTTTACCGCATTGATTAAAACGTATAACTTTTGATTAAAATTTTTTTTCAATCACAAATTTATAAAGTACCGTCATTCGTGTACGTACAAACAATGTAGGTACATATATACTTACGTATGCCAAGTATGAAAAAGAAAAATTACTGAAAAGAGTGAAAGTAACCATGTAAGATTATTAGCTACCAATAACAAAATACTTATTAACTTGTGTCAGCATGACAAAATTAAAACAAAAATAAAAAAATAATCAAAAATTAATTTATAAGAGTGTTAATTTATACAAAATAAATTCGGTTCAAACCGAGGGTTTATAAAATAGCACTTTTCCCTTGAATAAATCAAAGTACTTTTCCTTAAAAGCAATCCAATCTACTAGCTACCTATTTGAATTATTTTTATTAATATAAAAAATTTATCATGTTATTGCATACATTTACGATATGATAAAAAGGAACTGAGACAAACGTTGTCAAATGTTTGTCATAATGGTCAAATTCAATACTTAAGCAAGCTGGTTAAGATAAATTTTTTTTTTTTCTACTAGGTGAAAAAATCTCGAAAGACGAAGAAGGACGGCTCTATCTGCCTTTTCCTCAGACAGCGGGAGAGCGTGACTCCTACCTTAAAAAATCACCTAAATTCTGAACGGATAAAACTGGTCCTACAAACCAACTATTACCTCCGCGCTAAATTTCGTGTTAAATCGAATGGTCTTGTTCGTTTAAGTCTTCCTTGACGAGCCCTGTGCCTTGTAGCACAACTCCTAAATTCATCCACAACCAAAGGAATTCCTAATGCCCCGTAGAACTTTATTCTGGAAGGTTTGAATTTTGTTAATGTGAGTCTTCTTGGCACAACCCCACAGTTGAATGCCATATCGCCGTATTGGTTTAATGATTTGGTTATAAATTAATATCTTATTATCAGTTGCCAAATTGGACCTACGACCTAGGAGC